CAGTTTCTAAAATAAAAAGTCAGATTTTCATGAATAAAAAGGAGCACAGGCTCTATGACTCAAGTGTGTCCACAGCTGGTTAAGATCTCGTTTGTGCCACTGAAGGCTTCAACAAGAACATGCAAAGCAAATTAAATCATGTAGCATTTAAATATATTTAACCATGTTTACACCTGCTCTGATKAAAGTGAACAATTTGCGCTTGATTGATGGAATGAAGAAGTCGCAGACATGTTTATTTCGGCATTTCCCGCAACTTCCACATCACATTTGTTTATTTAAAACAAAAAAAAGACTGTTTTCAGATTGTCACTTCTTTAAAATACTTTTCCGGTGTTCAACCAGCCACCCCAGAAGATCAGTCTTTGGGGTGTTTTCCAGATTCTGGATTTTTATTTCCTGTTATTTTTGGATGRGAGATGTTTGAAAACTGCACACATCCACAGATTTTACACACCTACACCTTCCACACACACACRTGTTTACAGTAGAAGGACAAAGCTTTCAAAAAAAACTATCTAATGGTTCTGGGAGGACATGTTCTCAGAGCCAAAATGAGTCATTTATTACCAAGCTAAGCCCTGATTGGACTTCACATACACACAATTGAAAAAACAATTTGTTTAAATTAAACCAGGAAGAAWGGAAGGAAGGGATTCCATGGAAATGCAAACAACACATTGGCTGAGTCCAAATTCAGGGGCTGCATCCTTCTCAGCCCGTTTACGTCACAGTGACGCACCGAAGGCTGTTCAAATTTGAAGGTTCCTCCAGTTGTGGCCCACAAATGCATCCTCCTTTTCCACCAATTTGAAGGACAGGTACGGTGGATCCTTCTCAGCCCACTCTATCTCAAGATGCATTGCAAGGCAGACCAGGAGATTTTTTTTATTTTTTTTTTTTGCTTGTAACAGCAGACGAAGCGAAAAACAGAAGTACAGTTTTATACAAAGTTTGAAGCAGTTATTCATTGTTTTATTTTTTCGTTTGCATGGACTCGTTTTTATTATTATTCCTGTCAGAAATCATAATCAAGTTCATATGGCACGTCTCTTAGTTCATCATGAATTGCCTTTAAAATCATTTTATTAATTTATAATAAAAATATATTCATATTTTGCTAATTTCGATCTTCATTGTGTCTAGCGTCATCAAAGAACTCAAAGCAATAAATATAGTTTTTATTTTGGCAGAGATCAGCTGCTCACAGAATTTCAAGGCAAACCTGTGTTTAGTCTGCTTAGAGACGCTSTYTGCTGTGAAGGACTTGAATATAAGTTGCCACTACAACACGTTGCACAAAGCTAAATATGAGAAGTTTACTRAAGTCACACACATAATAGTGGCTTTTTACCCGATCCACAACAGTGCAGGGATCTGCACCTCGGCTTAATAAAGTAATTGTTTTTTTGTTTGCTTCAAACATTTTGTATTGATGTTTATTAAACTGTTATACATGTAATTTGAGCATGAAATGTGTTAAATTACTGCACTGTATGTTGGTTTAATAAACATAAATATATGCATAAACATTTTTAAAATGATATTATTACAGTTTGGGTAAGTGTGCAGCACTATGTGGGCCTCTGGTAGTGTCAACAAAAAATTGTGGCCCCTGCCATCATTTAAGCTGCCCCACCCTCTATTATAATGTAAATCATTTATTATAATAGACATTTTACAATAAGGAATAAATCACTGATGGTTTAAAAGTAGTCCCTGGAACAGTCAATGWCTTTGATCATTCCTCCCTGTGTGTTTAAGTAGAGTTTGTACAGCACACAGCTTCAGCCCACACAGCTGACCCGACATAACTCTGCGTGGCGTGCTCTATCATCCAGATCACTTTGCATTTCTGCTTCACACCATCAGAAACCACTGTCAGTCCAGCTGCTATCTGATTACTCAGCTCACTTCCTGGATGAGTCAGCAGCCCAAAATAAATAATGAATTTCAAAAACAGAGGGTCCGTTTTTGACTTTTCTCCCTTTCTATGTGTGTGTGTGTTCATACTTCATGTTCCCCAATGCCTAAAAAAAAAAACAACAACAACACTCAAACACAATGAAGCCTTTGTTCTCCGAAGCTGTGATGGATGACTGATTTCCTTTTTATTCCTTAGTTCTCTCTCAGCAGGATCTAAGGGCTTTCATAACAATGCCTACAGTTTTGGTTTGGCTGTTTGCTGACATTGTGTGGTCTGCGCGGACAGAAACATGTCTGTAGAGTTTACGGAACAGAGTAACGGTTTCTGCACTGAATGTCAGGACGTCCTCGTCATGGATGTTCTGCAGTTTTAGTGATTTCAAAGTTTGCATTTTATTGTGAGAAAATTAATCCCCTTTAGCTTTTTGCTTCCCCTGGAAAAAAAGTGTAATAATAAAGTTACACATCAGCCTAAAACTGAGCAAAATTACTTGTTCACTCTTTGTGCCATTTTTGGTTACAATCACAACCKTTATTTGTCTGTTAATCAGCAAACATATCAGAGCTTTGCACCCGAACACCTCACCTGATTTGGTTTATTTTAACCGTAAAACTTTAATGTTTAGCAACAGCTAGTTACTGGAACAAATGATTACATCAAGTTTGTCTCGGAAAAACAAATCAGACTCAGTTACTCATGTAGAAGAATGTTGAATCATAAAACTATCAAAGCCTTGATGGCTTTAAAGAATTTTATAGAAGATTAAGAAGCTTATAGGAGAACGAAGAGTCTTTTGTTTTCTATCACTAGAGCCATTATCTTCTTTCAACTCTTTGTTTTACAGAAGCTAGACTTAAACAAAACAAAGGAATCTACTCATCATGGTGTAATATTACTGMCACTACAAAAAAGAAAAAATTTAAAAGTTTAAAAATTATATAATTTCAGGTGGGTTTTTTTTTTTTGACACCTATGAGACATTTTTGGGTACTATGGATATGCAAAACAGGCTCTGTGTGTTTAAATAGTTTGGTTTAATTTGGAGGCTGCTGACAGTACGAACAATAAAAAGAGGACATTATGATTATACCTCATGTGAGTGGAGAGACTTTTCAGCAAGAAGAGACTGGGAAATAATACTGCATTGTGAACAACTCAGCATCCGATATGTTTAGCCATAAAAACCACAAAAATAACTGTGTAGACTGTGAGAAAACATTCAAGCTCACTATAAAAACACTAAAAACTGGTAAAACAGAACCAAAATGCTAAGATATTAAGAGTTAATATGTTACCTGTTGTAGATAGTTCTTAAACGGCCTGAGTTTAGTGAAATAAAGTTGATTTTTCAGCAGACTGAGAGACTAACAGCGAGGCCAAGATTAAAAAGAACTGCTGTGGTCTTAAAAAACAATTGCAAAGATATAAAAAAAAACCACAACTGATTCATGCAAATTTTCTTTTATAAAGCTTACTGATAGTTAAGCATTGCAGTGTTATGGCAGCAGAGGTATTCTTGTTGGAAAAGCTGCAGGATGCACTGAAAGTTGCTACAGCTAGCTGCTTTTGCTGCTTACAGCGCATAAAAACACCCAAAAGAATGTAAAAGTAAGCAAAGTTGTTGCTGCGTGGTGCAGTTTGTTTTAGTTGCAGAAAATTTGCGAGTTTTCTTTTCTTTTGATTTTTTTTTAACTTTTCCTTACTGAACCCTGAAGAGTAGGCTACATGTCTGTAAACAATAACTGAATAACTGAACATGACTATCTTAGGAATTTGAAATGTTTGAATTATGTTTAAATTGGTTTTCTTGTTACTGTGCACTATTTGTTATGCATGCAGCTATCTAAATATTGGTGTATTTGTGTGTAAAAAGCCACAATCACTTAAGTTTCAAAGTGTTCAAAATGCATCAATTATYATTTTATAAACCATCGCAGCACTCTGCTGTAATCCAAATTTTGAGATGCCAAAAAATCTTCACCCCAATAAATAACCAAGCAACTCTAAATTCAATGTCAAAGTTTATAAAATATTATTTGCTTTAATCTATATAATTTTTTTGAGATTGGAGCCATTTTAAGAAAGCAAAAATTCTCTTTGAGCGAGCGAGTCAGTTGCTCATCGGTCTGGTCCGAACTGAACTCTGCTCCTCTGAACTGGGGTCAGTGAAAAAAAAATTATCCACAACAGGTAAGATATTGTTTGTCCACAGAACCCCCACCTCAAAAGATCTAAACTACCCCTTTATTTTTATTCTAAAAATTTGCTCATTTTGTTCAAAAAAGGAGCAGTTCTTAGACGCACCTAAATAACCATTTTTGGATCCATAATCAAGTCATAAATTAGATCTCTAAAGTGGATTTAACCAAATCTTTTATTGTGTTTACTTCCTATTAAACGTTGGATCACAAAAACAAGAAGCAGGCACAGTACGCACAATTATTTCTCTAACACACAATTTCCACACAATTACCAGGGGGGGGCTAACACTGCTCGACTCCTGGAAAAGTTCTTTACTCAAGAATGAATGAAAAGAAGCATTGAGAGCACAACCAGGAAATGCCCACGAGATCAGGCTTTCATTGAAAAATGAGGAGGCATGCCTACGACTTACACTCAGTATATTACACTGAGCCCAACGTAGAGCCTGAATGTGAAGTTATAATGCACTGTGTGCGCCTACAGTGTCTTATGTAACATTTTGATAAATATTAAATCATCACACAGGATTATTCTGCATACTTCCTTCCCCAGTGCACCGTATTAAAGATGTAACGACTGTGTAACAGCTAAAAAGTGCAATAAAACTATTACAGCTGCTGAGGAAACCACCCTAAACAAAAATTAAATTAAATTAAATAAATATTATTCAGCTGTGGATTCAGTAGCACACACTTCAAATTAAATGTAGGGGTCCTTTAAAAAAAAAGACCCCCCCACAGGCAGGACAGATGCTCCACATCAGCTGCTGATGCTGCCAGGACACTAAATATAGTGTTTGCTCGGATTTAGCCTAGTTATACCAGTGTGTGTTTGTGGTGTGTGTATGTGTGTGAGACAGCTGTGCACTCACGCCCTAGTCCTGGGGAAGCCCATGGACAGAAGTACGTCCAGAGTGGAGCCATGTTTGATGGTGCTCGGCCGGTTCTGGCGCTGCCTCCGCGGGGTCACTTTGGCGTACAGGTCGTCTTTGGCTGCCATAACTCACTGCCCCATCGGTGTGTCAGGTCCGTAGCTCCTCATTTATCAGCAAATAACACTGGGAGTGGAGGAGGAGGTGGTGCGGTGAGAGACAAAAATAAAAAAAATTAAAAAAGAGAGAGGACGGAAGTGAAAGGCTATTTCAACCAGGGTGAGTTGTTGTGGACGGAAGCGCGTAAATATCGCAAAAACCCCTGCGAGGAAATGAGCATGTTTTGGGGCAGAGCTGAAACGAGCTGCCTCCTCTCGCTCCTCCTGACGGCTCGAAGAAGTGAAAACCATCCGCAGTGGGGGGGCTCAGGCACGGGACCTCTCTCCCGCTGCCCGAGCCGCGTCCTCGACGGAGGTGGACATTACTCAGCTCCGGCTGCGCAAAGTCCGACGTCACGGGACGCGCGTTTCGTCCGAACGATGCCTTATTTATGAATGGACCGGTGATCGAAGCAGCGACGCGCGAGGGATTGAGCTTTTTAAAGGGTTGCGGCTCCAGATGCGCTCGCCCCCTAAGTTAAAGAGACAGTACAGCATGATTTTTTATTTTATTTATTTATTCGTTGTGCGTGAGAAGACAGGAAATCTGTTCGACCTTTAAACCGAAAGGGAGCGAAACTGCGCGTAAAACGCGCTCCTTCCGGTTGAAACGTGTTGTCATAACGCGAAGGCGGTCAGGTTTATGGTTTATTTGAGGCGCTGTGGAGAGAAGTCGCGTTCGGGCTGGGTGGAAAATGTTGATCACACTTCCTGACTGGATAGACACTCCGAACATGCGCACTGGTGGAAGAGGAAGCTGTGCGCCATTGTTATTAGTTGCCTCAGCAACCCAGTGACAGCTACTATCCTGCAGACAGTTCAGTGTTTCCCAAAGTTGGGGTCGGGACCCAAAGWGGGGTCCCAAAACCTCAAGGTGGGGTCCTGAAAAGATTTTCTGAATTAGTTACATTTTTGCCTTAGTTGTTACAAATGATTGAGGTTTGTATATTTAAAATGGATAAATGTAGTATAAAAATAGTTACTCTACCCATCTTTAGTTGACCTGATACAAATGTTTATCATCTAAAAATAGTTGGGGGCTCAGGTCTCTGCTACTGTTATTTTGTGGGTCAAAAGCTGAAAAGTTTGGGAACCACTGCACTTTCCAAAGT